AGAGAGCACGGCAGTAGGGACCAGCTACTTTGTCCCCACAGTTGCCTTACCGTCTCTGTTTTTCAGGGAGCTGAAAACCAGAAAATGACATTTCCTAGAGCTCCTTGCCAGCTGGTTTCTCGAAGAAACCTGCCTTGGGAAAGGCAGGAGAAAGCAGGAGAATGGGAGGTGCGGGCTGTGTACTTTCCAGCAGCTCTACTGGTTCCAGGGCTGCAAGGCAGCGCCCCCAGCAGGTGGGTAGTGTGTGTAGCTCCACGGCTGTGCAGCTGCTTCCTGCTTTCTGGGCCATGCTCTTCTCCTTCTGTTCCTCCTACCCTTTGGATGCCTGTGGAGCCAATTTTCCTCATGAACCCCCCTCTACCCAAAATAGCCAAGTAGGTTCTGCTTTCCAGTCAGTCACTAATGGATACACTTCTTGAGCCACCCCCGCCTGCCCCAGGAGGTATGAGAGAGTCTTCAAAAAATTCGAGAGAAATGTGTATTATGAAAAAATTGTGCATAGATTAAAAAGAAAATTTGCACCAAGATAAACTTGAAGTCACTTGTTGTAACATGTCTGAACAGGACCTAGTTTGAGGCACTGAGAAGGATAAGACATCCATTTGAAAAGAGCCCCTGTCAGAGCTATGTGGATTCTGATCAAACTGAAGCAAGAACAGACCTCAAATATATGGGGGGTGGGGTGGTGGCAACTGGTGGTACAGTGGTTGGGTGGCTGGGTCCCACATGGCTGACCTGCCGACTTGAAAAACATACTGGGCAGATGTGCACATGTGCCCCGAATCCTGAAAGGTGAAGAGATTGAGGTCTGGCCATCACCCATGGGTGATACTTTCTCAGTTTTCCCTTCTTTCTCTCTCTGTCTCTCTCCAGCAAACACATGAACCCTCTAGTAAATTAAAAAAAAATATCTTGTTGAGATTTGTGTAGAAGAATGGTGAAATTACCCTCTAGTAAATTTTTAAAAAAAATCATGTTGAGATTTGTGTAGAAGAATGGTGAAATTATTGATGCTTTATGAAAAACATATGGGGACAATGGCCCCAAAGAAATCAGCAGTTTGCAAATGGATAACTTATTTTAAGAAGGGACAAGATGATGTTGATAATGCTCACGGCTCAGACCAGCCACATCAATTTGCAAGGAAAATAATTTAAATTTTTAAAAAAAATCATGTTGAGATTTGTGTAGAAGAATGGTGAAATTATTGATGCTTTATGAAAAACATATGGGGACAATGGCCCCAAAGAAATCAGCAGTTTGCAAATGGATAACTTATTTTAAGAAGGGACAAGATGATGTTGATAATGCTCACGGCTCAGACCAGCCACATCAATTTGCAAGGAAAATAATTCATCTCATTTGTGCCCTAATTGAAGAGGACCGAAGATTCACAGCAGGAACAGCCAACACCATAGACATCTCAATTGGTTCAGCTTACACAATTCTGACTGAAAAATTAAAGTTGTGTAAACTTTTTGCTTGATGGTTTCAAAATAATTGTGCCCAGATCAGCTGCAAATAGATCAGAGCTTTCAATGACAAATTTTAAGTGGCATTAAGATCCTAGTATTTCTTTTTTTGGAGAGGTTTTTTTTTTGTTTTGTTTTGTTTTTGTTGTTTTTTTTTTTTGCTATAGCGTGTGTGCGCTCGCCAGAAAGACAGAGAGAGACAGAGAGATAGAAAGCAAGAAATCACCCTCTGGGGGATGGCCACGCTGCAATACTTTCTTCTCCATTCTCCTCTTGGGATCTTAGGCACACAAGCACACGTGCCCGGCATGAGTTTAAGCCACTGGGTCTGGGACTTGAACCATGGTCGACTACATGGGAGTCCAGCGACATAGCCATTACACCAACTGCTGGTCCCAGTATTTCTCTTTTTTCTTTTTCTTTTTTTTTTTTTTTGAGAGATTATTGCTTTAAGACACATGTGCTTGCCAGAGAGACAAAAAGAAACAGAGAGACAGAAAGCGAGAAATCATTCCCCAGAGGGAATAGCCATGCCGTAATCCCTTCTTCTCTCGGGATTTTGGGCATACATGCACACATGCCTGGGGTGAGTTTTAAGCCACGGGGTTCAGGACTCGAACCCCAGTCAACTATGCGGGTGTCCAGTGATGTAACCTCTATACCATCTGCTGGTCCCAAGATCCTAGAATTTCTTTAAAGAATTGTAACAGGAGGGGACACTTGGCCGTACCAGTATGATCCTGAAGACAAACACAATCAGAGCATTGGCTACCAGTGGTGGAAGTGGTTGCTAAAGCAAAGGGGACTGGTCAGCAGCAAAGGTCACGGCAACAGGCATTTTTGCTTGACTTTCTGGAGGGCCAAAGAACAATAACATCTGCTTATTGTGAGAGTGTTTTGAGAAAGTTGGCAGAAGCTTAAGCAGAAAAATACCCAAGAAAATTTCATTAGAGAGTCCTTCTCCACCAGGACAATACTCCGGCTCATTCCATTCATGAACTAAGGGCAATTTTGTAAGTGTTTCATCACCTAACGAGTCCCAATTTGGGCTCTGACTTTATTTTCTAATCTTAAAAAAATAATAGTAATCTTTAAGGGCCAGCAAGTGCATGGTGGTTAAGGTGCTGGACTCTCATGTGGTCGACCATGGTATAAGTACCTAATCCAACAGCTTGAAACTCACACAGGGCACGTGTGTGTGAGTGACAAACATCCGAGGAGGAGAATGGAAAGGTTTGTGGCATGGCCACCCCTCACAGAGAGTGATTTCTCACTTTCCCTCTCACTGTCTTTCCAGTGAGTACAGACACCCTATGGGCAAAGATCTATAAAACAAAACCAAAAACTTTAAAGGGCACCCATTTTTTTTTTTTAATAATGTAAAAAAGACTGCATTGACTCAAATTCCCAGAATCTACAGTTCTTGAGGGATAGACTCAATGGTTGGTGCTGTCCCTTACAAAATTGTCTTGAAGTTGATGGAGCTTTTGTTGAGACATAAAGCTCTTCCCTCTTAGAGACATTTTTTTCTTTTAATTCCATTTTTCTTCCGATTTTTGAAGTCTCTTCATATTGGTCCCTGCCCTTCAGGATTCAGGTAGAATGGGGGAGAGGACAGCTATGCCAGTGTAGAATTCACTGATATTTGAGTCAGTTCATACTCTAGAACTCTTGGGACTTGGACAGAAATCAGGGAAGTCCTCACAGAAGAGGTGACTTTGGTGTTAACTATTACAAGATGAATAGGAGTTTGCCAAGTGGGTAAGGAAGAAGAAGAGCACTCCAGGCTCAGGGAGCTATGCATGCAAACGCCAAGAGGCTGTGTAGGGTGTTTGGGGGATACAGGAAGTTTGCTGTGGTCCAAACGTGGTTTGTTGGTGGTAATGGAACTAGGCCATGTAGAGTCTTGAATACCAGTAACATTTAAACCTGGGGAGGGGCTGAGGCAGGAGGTGTCTGGTCCAGGTGTGAGTGAGCTCACCCACCCACCCGAAAAGCTAGAAAAGCTTGCAGAAGGGACCAGACGAAGCCTCATTTGAATGTGAAAAATAAACTCTTTTATTTCAATACTTGCTCCTTGTGGTTCAAAAACACATCTATTGTTTGCTTGGAACCTAAAAGCTTTTATAAAAACCATCGAGAAATAGAGCTATGTTTATACAGAACATATACATGTCGGCTCATCTTGTAATTCTTCATTGTGCAAAGCAGAAAGTTCTACTGCATCAGCGTGATTTGCCCCAAGTCCCTCCCTGGTATTTTGGGGGGCTGTAGAGGCTACGACTCCCCCCCCCCACAAAGGATCCTCTCCCACCCCCTTCCAGCCTGAGGGAGGCCCAGTCATGTAGAGAGCTGGGGATAAAATCAGAGATGATGACTCATGGGTCCCCCAGTTACTCAGGAGCAAGGCTGTGTTTGGGGACTGTGGACCTGCAAAGAAGGGGCAGGTGGGGCGCCAGCCTGGGCAGCTAAGGCTCTGGTGAAGTCTAGGCACCGCGGTGGACAGGCACGGGGTGGGCAGAGGCACCCGGAGCTCTTCCCTCTTAGAACTGGGATCTGAAGGGGGGTTCCAGGGCACAAGCAGGAATCAGGACAGGGCTAAATGCAAGATGGGGTCATGGGCTGTGGCCTGGGGCTTCGCGGAGCAGGGAGTGGACCTTGTGGTTATGTACAAGGCATCAGGGCGTAGAACCAGGAGGACCTCAGAGAGGAGCCAGTTCAGTCACTCCTCCGACCAATGGAAACCAGGGCCCAGAGAGGGAGAAGCAGTGCCTGGCCAGACTTGGGGCCTGACCTCCAGCCTTCAGTACCCTCCAAACTTCCTCACCCCAACTGGGCCCTCTTTGATCAGGTCCCAAATGGCCTCTCTGACATTCTCAGGTCAGGGCTGGTGTCATAAATGGAGTGCTGGACTCAGAGTCGGAAGGCTCGGGCTCTGTTCTCGGGCTTCACATCACCCAGCCTTGTAGATAACCACCAGTCCCGAGGCAGAGCAGGTCGCAGCCCCTCACTGTCTCTTCATCCAGAAAACAGCCTCCACTCTACAGTTTTCATGGCAATGAAGTGGGTCAGCAGCCTCGTGAGCACCAGAGAGCACGGGAGCCATGCTGCATAAAGGAGGTGCCTCACACTGAGGAGGAGCGTGGGGACTGCCGGATTAGGACTGGTGGGATGTGGACCGGAGTGTGGGCCTGGCCTATCCCCATTCCACGTGGCTCTGGCTCTCTCAAGGTCCCTGGAGGCCTGGGTGCAGCTGGGGAAGAGGTACGCAGCACACTCCAGGGAGCTTCCTTGGCCCAGGAACAGGTGCACCACCCCTCTTTTGCCAGCTCGAGGGGGCTAGGAGTGGACTAGACAATATGGCGGGAGGCCGATGGCTTTCCAAATGACATCCAGGCTGGATAGGTGTGAGTCCCTCCTCTCTCACCCTACCTGGCTAGCCAAGGTCAGGGCTCACAGCATGGTGGCACAGAACATTCCTCACAGCTAAGAGGGGTGGTGGGGAGCTGGGCTCGGGGGACAAGACAGCCAAGGTCAGGGCTCCCACCGTGGTGGCACAGAACATTCCTCACAGCTAAGAAGGGTGGTGGGGAGCTGGGCTCGGGGGACAAGATGGGTCAGAAATACATTCAATTCTGAAGAGCTCCTACAAGCAGCCCAGCCCTGTCCTGGGGTCTCGGGCCCAAGAAGGGGCAAATTTTGCTCACTGGCTTGGAATAATGTTTGGGGGTCATGTTGGAGGCCCTCAGCAGGCTGAGGTGGGGCTGGGCACGGGAGTCCCTTAGGAGGGGCCAATGATGACATTCCGGTAGCCCTTCACAGACTTCAGCTTGTCGCTCTCGAAGTTCACCACCAGCTTGTTGAGGCCTACATGGCGTGGCATCAGGTCCACCCTCACCTTGGCTACCTCTCCCGCCTCCACAGGGTCAGGGCTACAGAGAAAACAGGAGAGGGTGAGCAGAGGGGCCCCAGGCCTGGTGCCCCACAGTGGGTTCAGGCCAGGGTGTTACATGACTACCAGGGACTTTGAGAATGTCACACAGAGCCTCTGTGAGCCCAGAGCTAATGCCAGCGATAATAAAATGGGTCGCACGCTGCCCTCTGGGGACGTGGATGATTTGCCCTCCCAGAGTACAGCATGCGTGTGCGTGTGTGTGTGTGTGTGTGTGTGTTTGTGTGAGCATGGGTGCACGCATGCCCCTATGTGCACGGAAGTGGATGGAGCCCATGGGGATAAGAATGAGTATGTTCCGGTGGTAAAAATGGTGGAACTGTACATGCATGGTGTACATCCCAGTAAAAAAGTATAAAACAAGTGTGTGCTTGCATGTCTGTATGTCCACGTGTAGACACATCTCCACGAGGATACACTCACACATGCATCTGCCCAGGAACCCCATTTATTTAAGGGCCCGTGTGTGCAGAGGTGGGCCCAGCAACGGACAGTGCCAGTGTTCAGCTTTGTGAAGACGTGTGTGGAACACAGCTCACGCAGCGTGGGTAATGAGGGTGTGGGAGTGTTTGAGAGTGTCTGGACATAGCATGCGGGTGAGTGTGGGAAGTGAGAGGAGGGTAGGGGCCGGAGGTTGATGCCCGAGGGCAGCACCAGCCCCCCTTGGCATCTGCCACCCTTCCCCAGGTTCCGAAGCTGAGCAATCTGGACTTACATCTCCACGGCCTTCTGCTTCTCCGTCAGGCCAGCCCCCTCCACGGTGAAGATGCAGCCCAGCAGCGGCACAGTGAGTGGGTTCTGCAGGGATACCTCAGCCGCCAGCTTGCGATTCTGCTTGGGCTCCCCCAGGATCTGAAAGAGGGCGTGGGACAGGTGTCAGGGGCAGCATGGGGGACAGTCAGGACAGACCGGGCCCCTCTGCATTTGCTATAATTTGGCTCACTGAACGAAGCCATGCCTGGCTCCGCCTCAGTGCCTCAGTGCCCTTATCTGGAAAACATCAACAACTGAGGGCTGCTCAGGTCTCTTTCAAGGAGCCGCAGTGAGGCTCCCTGTGACCCAGGGGGTATGCAAAGCACACCTGTTCGAGGGTTTGGAGTGGAAAATCAGTATTTGGAGCCAGGACGGTCTCTGCCTTTCCCTCACTGTGTGACCCTGGGGAGGTCCCTACCCTCTCTGAACCTTGTTCTTCACAGGACAGAGATGCCTGACCAGGTTCTTGTGAAGATTAACCGAGCTGCTAGGTGCACGGCCCCAGGAGGACGTCTGCCTCACATCCCACTGCCTCTCCTCGGCTGTTTGGCGTGTACATGTAACTGCTGCATCTGCGGATTCTGGGCCTGCTGCTCCTCTGAGCGCATTTCTTTGATGAGAATGATGGCAGCAAGAATGGTTGGATTTTACTGAGCCTGCCAACGTGCTGGGTATTATTTTATGTGTTTTCTGAGGATTTACTTTTAATCCTACAACACCCCTAAGTGCTCATATTAATCCCATCACACACATGAATAAACTGAGGTGCACGGGGGCGAGGGAACGTGCCCAGGGCCTCCCTGGCACAAACCAGGCTATCAGGCTCCAGAGTCTGCCCTTGGCTCTGCCTCTCCCCATCCCATCAGTATAACCCAGGGCCTGGGGAGTCCTAAGGGGGTCCAGACTTGGGAGTTTAGTGTTTTCTTTAAAATGAGTCTCAGATCCCTAAGTTCCAAGACCTTACCACTCTGGGATCTAGAAGTTGTCCCTAAAGGCACAGGTCCCAAGTTCTCTGGGCATCACAAGGCTGGGATTTGAGGGCCTCTGAGGTGTCAAAGGTCTCGAGGATGCCAGGATGTAGGTGTGTCCTTGTCCCAGCACTGGGCCGCCCTGGGATCCTGGCCTGCACCTTACCCGGATCTTGATTTCTGGATTCTCCAGGTAGAGGTCCCGCTCGGCCAGCAGGTAGCTGTTGGTGGCCGGCTCGATGAGGAGGCCCCGCACCTTGATGAGGTTCGACTCCGTCAGGCAGTCGCGGTACTTCTCATAGAGGATGCGCAGAGGGATGCTCTTCTCTGTGGACGGGGAGAGCAGGTGGCACTCTTGACGGCTGTGCCATCGCTCCTGCCTCTCCTCTTGCCACTCCACAGGCTCAGAGAGGGAAATGAATGTGCCTGAGGTCACACAGCCAGGGAATGGCTGGGTAGCTTCCAGGGATCCTAGGAAGGAGCTGGGAGCAGAGGCATAACAGCCTGGGAGAAGTGTTTGAGTTCTGACAGGCCTGGGTTCTAATCCTGCCTCTTCCCTGTCGCCTGGTGACACTGAGTAAGTCTATCCACCCCCTAGGACCTCGGCTTTTGCAGTCGTGCAGTGAAGGCACCCACAGGCTGTGGGTGAGTGTTGTCACACTGTGCCTGGCACACCTTGGTGCTGCCGCTGCATCATGGGAGGTCGGAGCTGACATCGGCCCTGTGCCAGGCACGTGTTGCACACAACGCTCTCCTCCACCTGCAAGACACCCCCTAGAAGGATCATTTTATTGTTATTGCCCAACTCACAGATCAGGAAACAGGCTCAGCAGGTGAAGTTGCACGGCTCCAGGTCACAGAGCCGGTATGCACCATGCAGGCATCTGAACCACAATCCAGATCGAGAGCCCAGCAGCGTCACCTGCACTCACCGAGGAGTGCCTCTCATGGACACGAGCTCACGTGCCTGCGTGCGCTCGGTGGGCTGTACCCATCTTACAGATGGAGGAACACCTACGCCAGGAAGTGCTCATAGCAGAGACCTGGCCTCTGGGTCTGTGATTCTGAGATGATGACTTCCCCTCTCTGTTCCCTAGGTCATCTGGCCTCTGCTGGGCAGAGCTAAGACCCGAGGTCATTTCAGAATAAAAACCACACAGTGATGAGGAGGTGAGACAGATGCTGGCAGGACCAAGCTCTCCCGGTGCAGAGTAGTGAAGCGTGGTTTTTAGCCCCATGTTTCCGATGGCGACACTGAGACCTGAGGTGCTGGCTTCTGTAGGAGGCAGGAAGCAGCCGTAAAAGGAGAGCAGGACGGAATCCTCAGACCTGTGGGCGTCCCTCCTTGCTACTTGCTCCCAGAGACCCCCAGGCAAGTCCATTTTGCTGCCTAGGCCTCCCCTCTCAGCTCTGGAGGACTGGTCCTGGGCTCCTGAGTGCTCAGCCAGGCCCTGGCGCTCACCACCCCCAGGCAGGCGCCAGCGCCATGACAACCACGATGCTGTGGCCTCTTCTGTTTCTGTTCCCTCCCTCCTCCTAGTACACCAGCCATTCATGGTTTCCGGAACCCCAGCCATTCATGACTTTCCACCCACCTGTGTGTGTCCTCATTATTTGCTCTTTTTTTTTTCTCTAAGTTGCCTCACTTTATATTTTTAACCCTTTCTTGCTTAGGGAAACGTTTCATCATTATTTGTCGCAAACTAGGTTTTTTTGTTTGTTTTTTTTTCCAAAACAGAAGGTGACTGGTAAGAATAGCAAGCAAACAAAGCCATGCTTCTTCAGTTCTGGCTGGACACTGTTGCCTGCAGGGGATTCTGAGTTTGAGACAGGAAGTTAACTATTGAAGAGGGAGATGAGCAAGGGTTAGGGATGCCAAAGACCCATAGCCTCTGTGGAGACCCTCCACAGGGGCCTCTAAAGGCCTGATGGAGCCCAGGATGCCGGTCACTCTCCACTGTGTGATCCGCGGTCCAGGCCCTGCCTGTGCACACTGGTGCTCCACAGTCCACTCTGGAAAATGCCGCACCGGCCCATCCGATCTCTAGCCCCTCATTCCCGGGGCAATCTGTTCCAATCTCTGACCAGATGAGGTGATCTGGGGAAGCAAACCAAACTTGTGTGCCAAAAACCACAAAAGAGAGTGAAAATTACTAGGTCAGGACCTGGTGGAGCGGAGTGGAAACTCTGACCCACTCCAGAGGAAAGAAAGCAAACACTCCTCCAGGAGGGTGATGTGGTCCCAACTGCTCACTTTCCAGGGGACCCAGGCCGGGGCAAGACCTGACCTCTGACAGCTGCTGCTCACAGGCCAGTTGCCACAGCCTGTGCCTCGGGGCAGAGGAAATCATTCCTTTGATGTTTTACCCTGTTCTAGAAGGTGTGCTGGGGATGGTCACAGAGGCCACATTGGCTGCATTCCAGGGCCCCACCTGAAGGGGCGAGGGGGGAGAGAGACAAAGGTGGGGACCGGAAGGGGAGGGAGAGAAGCACAGCAGAACAAGGAGGCGGGGTGGGTCCGCTGGACTCTGTTCAGCTGTCGGGGCCTGGCTTCCTGTCCAGGGTACATGGAATTCCCCCGCTCCCGCTGCCCCCTGATCTTATCAGCAGAGAATAACAAGCAACTCAGCCAGAGTGTGGGGGCTTATCTCAGGTTGGGCTTGGGAACTTGGCCTTTGCGGGGGGCCCGGGAGGGCATCTTGGGCTAGCTCCACCTTCCAGCCAGAGGGTAGCACCTCTGCCAGCTTAGCCCTCTCCCATAGGCTGTGCCCCGTGAGGGTCTCCAGTCGGGGCGACTTCCCTGTTGTGAGCACATCTCAGGGTGATGAGAAGCACCGACAGGCGTGGCTGAAGTCACTGCGGAGAAGGCGGCAGACACCCCAATCCTATCTGGAGGCAAGGGTGACTCAACAGAGGCCCTGGAGGAAGAGACTTTGGCATCTCCGACCAGGCCTGGAGTTTACCTCATGCCACACATTCCAGGAAAGACACCATTTCCCAGGGAGCAGTCTGAACACGGAAAGGAGCTGACGGGTATGCGGGTATGCGTCAAACTAGGGGACTGCGAGGGTCTGTAAAGGGGAGCCAGCCTTTGCAGGGAGGCTGCAGCTGGGATGAGAAAGAGAAATACCCAGGAGGCCACAGCGGCCGGCAGACTGCAGGAACTGGGGCTTGGCCAGCCTGACTGCCCCACACGCCTGAGGGATGGAGCCCCGGCCCCTGACTCTTGGGACCTGGATGCAGTGGTGAGAGCACGGGTCCTCTCCACACTGCCAAGATGGCAGGGGCTCCGGAACCACCAAGCCAGAGCCAACATGAGCATCTGGCAGAGCAGGTGTTAGGAAAAGGTCCACAGGCTTCTCAGTTTTCTCATGCCTCTCCACACTTCCGCTCAGTGAGGAGTGAAGACCCCACTACTTCCTGACACTGCTCTGCACCTTCCAGGTGTTTCCTGAGCTCACACCTTCTCCCTCAGCCCTCACAGCTGCCCATCAGGTGGGCATGCTACTGTCCCGTTGAGTGGGTGAGTACAACTCGGGGCTCAGAGAACATGCTCGCCTTGCCCACGGCTGTACATTTAGAAGGTGGCCGAGAAAGCACTCAGAGGGCTGGCAGGCTTCAGAATATGTCTTTTAACAGTGCTGGGGCCTCTGCCCTGGCGCTGAGAGGTTCTGGGCCCTGAGGGCCTGAGCCTGCCTGGGGGCTCTGCCTTGGGGATCCAGCTCCAGGAGGGCCTATGGGGGGGGGGGGCTCAAGTTTAAAAAAAAAAAAAAAAGGACAAGGAAGTCTTA